AACAGGCATCATCCCCAAACCCAAACCAGCTCCTAAATCTCAGGAGGAGTCTTCCATGCCCAGTAGCTTTGTCATTGCCATGGAAAGTGCTGAAAGTCTGAGCTACTTTTAAGATTGACTTCAGCTGCACTCTCTTGGGATAGTGGAGAAAAATAAAGACATAAAAAACAATGAAGATAGGTATTGATCACCCATCTACACATCCTTGTGTTGACTTACAGCCAGTTCAAATCAAAAAGGCCAGTTACCCTGAGGGTCTCCAAGCACTGACAGAGACAGAAGCTTAAGAAACAGGGACAGCGTTAACTGCATGTTGAGCAAAACTAGTATGATCTCTGAGAGGAAAGCCGCACACTGAAGGCTTTATATAAGGAAAACACAGCAAGGTTAATAGTGGGAGGAAACATATCTTATGAGACCTACATCTATAGCTGCAGAAAAGAGAAAAAAAAAAAAAATACGATTTTCTGAGACCAAATACTTCCTCAAGTCCCTTAGGATCTCGTGAGTATGCCTAAAAGCTTATCTGTCCCTTTTACAACTCCATCAATTCAAATCTCATAAAAAATGCTATCTCTCCCTGTAAACTGACTTCCTTACATCCTTAGGCCACCAGTGCTATAACAGCAGTACTACCACCAGTCTTCATGCCACACATTCTGAAGAGTTTAATCATTGCTATTGTTCCTCTCCCAATACCTAGGATTTTGTGTGAAAATACATTCCATACACAGGTCTGCACCAGTGCCCTGGGAATGTCATCAGTCCTTGCTATCAACCAGGCTCATCCAGCATGGGACTCCAGCAGAACCACAGAGCTGTTGCACCTGAGACAGCCTGCACATAACCTTTGGGTAACTGAGACAACTACTTCCGATAGCAATTAGGTCCCTATGGCAGCAGGAGGTCTGTCCACAGAAAGGTTGCTTTCTGCAGAAACCACTGTCCCAGAGCAAAGCTGATTTCCAGTGAATGCACTGTCATATTCATACCCCCTTAGGCATTCTCACACCACCACAAATAAGCAGCACTGTACTGAGGCTTTTTTGGACAAGACTTTCCTCACTCTCTGCAATAAGTCATGACACTTGTGCATGCTTTCATTCATTTTCAGTGGAATGTTTTCATCCATTGGCAAGGAAACATACACAGATCATTATGGCTCTTCTCTTTAAAGAACTAAGCAGCATTAATGTTATTTGTTTACTTACAGGGAAATAACAAGTTTTCCTCCAAACAATGCTTTCTCACTCAAAGCATGATTTCCTGAAAAAATAATCCCCATTTTCATTACAAACTACTGCATTTTAGACTCTTTTCAGCAACTTGAGTAATTCCATTAGAAACCTTGATATAAGACTTGCGTGGAAAATACTTTCCCCAGAATTCCCCCTGTGATTCATTTTTACCATAGCAATTCTTCAAAATATCAATACACTAGATTCATCCATAAAACAAAAGACTATCCCTGACCCTTGGGTCTTACAATGTAGACTCTGCACATAAGAATACTGTAGCAGTTCAGGTAATTGTCAGTATGTCAAATCTTATAGGCAGCTGCAGGTTATCTCTGCACCTACGTTTAGAAAGTGCTACTAGCTCACTAGTGTGTACTCAAAGGCACCAATAAGGAAAGGTGTGGTACAGCTATAAAGAATGGCACATTACAGCTGTAAAGAAAGTACGGGCTTCACTACTGCACAGGTATATAATTGAACACGACTGACACTGACCTTAATGGCAGAGTTGCTCATCAAGTTAGCTCCATTTGGTACAATAAATAAATTCAGACATATTCCAAGGTTTTCTCACAAATAAATGACCTGCTCTGTAAAAGCCGTATGAATTTTAAGTGTTAACCATGAAAGATGATGATGAAACTGGCTCCTGGCTACATCACAGCAATTCTGTGAACTGAAAGAAAACTTATTTGCACAACAGAGAGTATGATTTTCTCTTGATACATCAATTTATGCAGAATTATCCCATCTTAGTGGTATGCTACGCATCCTTAAATAATTATTGATCAATCAAATAGAAAGTAAGTCAATAAATTCAGAGTGATCACCTACTGTTTTATTCATAAGAATTCTTCCTACTCTTTCTCAGTAGCTATTTCATCCTTCCTTCTTCATTACCTTTTACATTTTTCATCATGTGCTGTTATTTATCTCCTTTGCCTGGTAAACAGTCCCTGTCTTTTCAAACTCTCTTCATGGGCAAGTTTTTTTCAAGGATCATTCTCATTTTCTTTTTTTTTGCACTGCAATTCTGCAAGATTCTTTCAGAAGTGCTGCACAACAGCATTCCACAGGATAAGGAATCATTGATTTATAATAGAACTATAACATCTTTCGTATTCTTCTTTCCCCTATCCATTATGCACCGTAGTATCACATTTGCTTTGAGTGCACAGTTATACAGGTTAATGCTTCCCAAGATTCTTACACCACAGGCCTGTTCATCAACTTGATTAGAATGGATATTCACTCGTAAGTAACTATGCAGACAATCTAAAATGTTGATATCAATAGCTGGGATTCATCTTCCTTCATTTTAGCTGTCATAAAGCTATACTTTGGTTCCTTCTAATATTAATGGGAAAGCAATATTCAGAGAGAACAGTCTTATCCCACAATAAGTGCAATAGGAGACAAATTGCCCCCAAAGGTTTTGATCTTTCCACACACTTCTGATCAACCGGTTTAGGCTAAAATTTTACTGCTTGTATGACAAAAATTAAAAGAAACTAGTTCATTTCTCTACTCTGAGACATTACTTCTGATTTGTTCCAGGACAGGCGGATCAGAACTCACCCGCCCATCCTTTATGCAGCCATTAAACCTCACCAGATTCATAGCATTTAATTTGATATTTACTTATTCATCTCTAATATTTGAAATTCAAAAGAGCTGTCGCCTGTATTTCTGTCCAAGATTATCCAGACTGAGTGATATGCACGGGACACTGCACATACAGTCAATCCGATGCATCCCATAATAGGCAACCATATCACATAGCTTGTGAGACTAATACATCCAGGACATATCAGCCTTCCTACATATGTACCAAGCAAACACTCTGCATAGTCTATCAACCATATGCTGGACACGGTGGATTTAACACACCTTCAGCTTAGAGGTGTGTGCTGTGAATCTGAAGTGCCCACGTGTTACTTGAGTACTACATGGACTCAATCCATGCCCAGTTTCTGCAGACACTTTTGACAGGCTGCTGGACAGGCAGAAATCCTGCAACTGTGATACAAAACCAGGGAAAGCGATAGACAAACATGAAAGGTAGAGCTTCCTGCCCAATGCAGCAGAAATGTTCAGTGTGTATGTCATGGTTTAAGCTAAACCCAGGACAGTGCATATTTAACATTTTAACTTCAAACACCCATTAAGCTATAATAAAACCCTGCTAAGGATTGTCATGGCACATATACGTACATGCATGTTTTTGTATACACACACACTCCTTTTTTTAACTTGAAGCAATTAGCAGCTATTAGCCTGAGCTGCTCACTGCTAATTTGAGGCAGAGGAATACCCATACCAGGCAGATGTTCTCAATGTCAGTTCACATTTCTAAACAGAGAACCCTTGTTCTAATACAGGCGGGAGCTGAGGAATAAGAAACATCTGTAAAGCCTCATGCTAGCCTTAAAGAACTGGATGTTCCACAATGCCCTTAGACATAAACCACCAGATTAAGAGAGTCTCTCTGAAATAGTCCTTGGAGAATAGAGCATTTTCCAATTGGAAAGCCTCTAGTCAAATCATGACTATGTTGCAAAAGCTACATTCTCAGTGTTTTCTAGCTCTAGGTCTCCTCAGGATGCCAAATTAATTAGTAGCAGGGTGGGTTTCCTGCAGGAATGAGGGGAGCTGTGGCTCCCTTAGCATTCAGTCATCTCCAGAGCAGCAGTCTCCCCTACCCATGGGAGAAGCCTTCTGGTGTTACACAAGTGCATGCAGTTTCTGTAGTTTAGTCCTTCCAGGTCATAGAGATCCTGTCCTCCACCAAATCCCAGAACAGAACTATCACCCTTCCCACTTAGACTCCCATTTCTAAGAACATTTCATAATAAACAGAGCAGGACTTTTTTATAATTGTAAGACACTAATGAAAATGTTCCATCAAGGAAGTAAAATAGGAGCTTAATGTAACTCAGTGCTGCTCAAAAAGGGAAGAGTATGTGTTTTCTGTACTACCTGAATCCAAGCTCCATCTCATCTCATTCCTCCTCTTCAGCACTGGTGGCAAGCAGTTAACATCATCATGTCTGCAATCTCTGTGCCCCGTGAACTTTCTACAGCCTGGCTCATGTTCAGGAAGTGTTCTTCCATACTGTGTTATTCCTTCTTACACTTCCCCAGGTATGAAACTGGGAGAGGCAGCCTTGTTCCACATCCAGCACACAAGTTCCCAGAAAATCTCAAAACCAAGTAGTTTCTCATTCAATTCCTGTCACTTTCTCCTCATCTCCAAACTCATCAACTAGCTGACAAACAGCCATCTTCCACTTTGAAGTTGCCCTATAACATCTTTTTCCAATTTTTCTGCTATTTTATCTCCTACTGTAAGTTTTTATTCTCTCCATTAGCATTACTTGACTGTCAAATCAGCATAAACTTTTCAATTTGTTAAAATGATCATTCACACCTTTCCTCTGTTCTGCTTTATTCTCTCCACTTCATCACTAGCTTCTTTGTGTCATCCAAGTAGACACAACAGCAAATTAGAGCTTCTGTCAACCTCACGGACCATTGTGATTACTGGTGATTGAACTTACAAAATATATTAGATTCACCAAGACACAAGTGATGAGCAGAGAAATCAACTGTTTTGTCCCAGATTGCATTGCCAATCTACAGCAGGCAGGTACAGGCTCCTAGCTCGTGACTTGAGGCCCTAACAATACACTTCCTCTCTTGCACAGAACAAGTATCTCACAGAGAAGGAATTCATGTCACATTTGTACCAAGCCAACATACCTGGATGAAGATATATTCATCCTGAACAACAAGGGAGCTGATGTCAATGGAGCGCGAGAATGGCCCACTCCTTTTGGTCTCCGAGCACTCTTGGATCCGACAGGTCAAATAGTGTGTGTCTGTAACAGAATATGCATACATGAGAAATGCCCATGCAGGAGCCTGTTGTCTGCAAATGTCATCAGCAGCTTTAAAAAAGATCTCAGAAGGGAAATCTTAACTTCAGCTCCAACTGGACAGATTGTTACTGCATGATCTACCTCCAGCCTTTAAAACTGCTCTCTGGAGTCAGAAATACAACACACTTCCACACCCATCATTCCCTTCCCCATTGTGCAGACGGCCCTCAGGATACTGGAGTTTAAACCATAAGTGGAGAGTACAAATCATAAATGCATCAGAAAATTGATGATGAGACCATATGGAGCAGAAAAAGATTTCAAAAGCCACTCAGATAGAATTATCAATTCCACTACCCTGTTGGGAAGCATATCCCCATCCTCCCCCTGAAATAATATAGCCTTGATGGTTTTAGTTGTGGTTCTAACACACAAGTAGACAAAATAAAGCCCAAACCAGCATTATATTATTTTGCTGTGAAAATTACAAGCATCTCTCAAAGTTAAGTCTTTATAGCCAATATAGGCTAAGTATGAAAACACTATGGACATGAAATAGCATGACTAGTCGAAGAGTCACAACAGTAGTTATATGCACTGCAAGTGGTATCAACCACTTCTGTCTAGAGAGAAGGTAAGACCATTGCACTAATGGGATGCCTTGTCAGGCCTTGGCATTGCTTGAGAGAGGAATAGGACTGGGAAAAGAACATGAGGAAGACATAAAGCAAAGGCAGACATACAGAAAGTTGCTTGGAGCAGCAAGAAGAGATGTGATCACCTCCAGCAAATTGGCAGGGGATTAAGCATTATTTCATTTAGGCTAAGAATGGATCTCATGAAACAGAATAACCAAGGCACTGTGTCTCTGGATACGTGTAATCTAAATATGCCATCTCTGCCTTTCTAAAAAATGCAAATTAGGGACAAAATGAAAATACAACTAAGATGACAGCTGCAGTGATAAAAGGGCCATATCTTTTACACTGCAACACTTCTACAGGTTTCTTAAATTCACACACTTGTTCCCTTTTCTACGAAGGGTGAGGACAGACCATTGGTGAGTCTAGTGCAGTGATTTTTGTTCACAACTGCACCTTTTAACAAGGATCCTGTCAAATGGAGCCCAAAAGGATAAAAGGGAACTTTAAAAGGACAGTAACTAGCCTAGCAGAGCTGCTTACAGGATTCTCCATCCCATAAAACCTGCTACTGCACTTGGTCTGTATCTTTCCAGTGGCAGCAAAATATGGTTCTGTGGAAAGCACGGGGGGCACAACTGAAATCCACTGACACTCAGCTAACTGCCTTTCCCCATTCAAAGACAAGGTTCACAAACTGTCAGTTTCCCTTTCCAAAGCCTCATCCCGCCAACAGAATCTTAAGAACGCAAAAAGAATGCAAGTCAGAGGCATTCATAACAGGAATAGTAACTTTTTAACAGATATTGTCTAAAAAAAAGTCACAAACTACAACCAAGCTTTAATCTAATAAAGGCTCATGACCAAAGGTCTGTGCTTAAAGACCACAGATGGGCTTCTGGGTTGAGGCACCGGGAATTTGAGGTTAATAAGGGCTATGTGGCTGATACAGAGCAGTTGCATAGGTCTGGTACAATAATGAAAACAGTCCCACTGATGCTGCTAAAGCAGCAGAAACTGTTGCTGGTGCCAGCTCAGAGTACGTGGAGGTAATTAAAGTGTATGGTGAAAAATATCTGACTTAGAGACAGTGCCAAATAACTGGAGTACTGGAGTCGTGCTTTAACCTAGCAAAAGGTATCAGCAGCAGTAGAAAGGTCAGACTCTCAGCTGGGACAAATTAAGGTTCTTTATCAACTGACACATACACATTTGGTCCAGAGCTGTTATTTACCCCCTCAGCATGGAATCGAAGACATCTTTGTGGTGGATAAAAGCAACTTCTCAGAAAACTAGAGGGTCTTATGTACCATCATGCTACCCAAAGAGCTCATCAGCCTTAACTTGTTCCATGAGGTAGCACTAAAATTAGGCAGAACAAGGAGGAGAGGTCAGGAACCATATTTTTAGAAGCTCATTCCCTCTGGTATGTTCTCCCACACAGTCGCTTGGATATTCTTATCCCTTCAAAAAGGGGATAATTTGCTGCTGCTGAGTGACAGAATGGGAAGAGGAATAAAAACCTGTCACAAAAAAATGCAGATAAATCACAAGTGTTGACATGACAACTAGCTGCCTGCCTATTGGGAAATGTGTCATTTTGAGTGTGTTACACCAGCAATCAAGTATACTCAAAGAATGGCACCTGATTAATATTCACACAGAGCTGGTGGTGGAGAAGGGGGGTAGCTCACTATCCATTGAGTCTCTTGTTTACTTATTTTCATCTATTTTACAACACAAGGTAGCTATGAAGAGAAACCCAACCCAACCAACAGACACAAAAAACCTATATTCAAACCTGTCTGCCTTTGGACACCAAAATAAGCTCAAGTCTTGCTTATTTTCCCACTGCCCCACGAAAAATGCAAAATAATTCCTTTTAAAACATGTCCAAAAATCAGGTAAAAAATATGTTCACATTTGTTGGTGACTCAAAGCAAGAAACAATCCCAAGATGCTGCTTGAGCTTCTTGAAGGGTACGACCTCTTCATGAGCTACCATCCCATTCACAAAGCACATCTTACACTATACAGGGCTCCTTAGTGTAAATGTCAGTTAAGAGAGAAGCTGTTATGTCCCCCTTCTCTGAAAGGAGCTACTTTTTCAGCCCTGATTTGCACAGCCACAAGGAAAAAGGACAGCTGCCCAGAGGAGCAGGTGGCATGTGCCCAAGCTATGCCTTTAAAGCTTTGTTTACCTTTAAGTGGGAAGTTTATGCCTTAAGGGAGGTTATTAGGGATAATAGGGATTATTTTCAATTTACATATTGTCCCACACAACATCAGGATTGGAGGATCTAGGCATTGGGGGTTTGGTTTGGTGGGGGTTTTTGTGGGATTTTTTTGTTTGCTTGTTTGTTTAATTATATTCTACTGCAAAAGGAATTGAGAAGAGCTGCCCATTTCCTAGACAGCCTCAAAACTTCCTATGCTTATAAACCATACTTATAAACCAGCTACTTTCTCAGCCCATCTGTGACTGAGGCAATATGGACATCAAGCAGCCTGGAGGGTTTCCTGCAGCTCAAATCACAACATCCATAACTGCACACAAACCCTTCCCACCAACTTATCTCACTTAGGATTAGGGAATGGCTTTCTCAGACGTGCAACCATTTTGCAGTTGAGCAAGAAATGCTTCCCCATTGCTAATTAACATGGTCTTCATCTTGAGAATCTGGAGTGTATTTTTACCCTTTATAGAAGCAATGAAACTGAAACAATTTCTTATAATTTGCAGTGATAAACTGGTGAAATAAGCCAACTTACTAAGCCTCTTCTTTGCCTAACAGTCATGACAGCTTTGGAAGGAAGCAGGAGCACACAAGAGGCTTTCTCTGGTGGATAATACCCGAAGAAGTGGGTCCCTGAAGGAAGACAATGAAGCAGTCAAAACTGTCACTATGCTGAAGGACGCAAAGGGCAGACTTAAGTGCAGGCTACTGTGACTTACAGAGACACAGGACAGCAAGGTCTGCTCCTTCCTGGCAGCATTAACAAGGCAGCTAGAAGCAGGCATGGCTGGCCAGCATCGCTAACAGGGAGAAGGGTAGCTGATGGAGACAAGTTCTTTGGCAGACTGGCTCAGCTTAAGTCATGTCCTGGTGCCAGGCAAGACTTAAAATCACAAACTGCCAGTGAAGGTTACTATGGGAAGGAGAAAAAAATAACTGGCCTCAACAATTTTCCCCCCAAAGGGAAAGAAAAACTGTGTATGTAGACAGGACTGTAACTATTCCCCAGGAATTAGTTACCTTGTTTTATCTTTCTGGTTGGGAGGGATGCGTGTGTGTCCCTTTTCCCTTTAATTAAAATACTGTTTACTGCACTGGATCTGTGAGTGGGGAGACAATTATCCCAGTGAACATCAGAAAGTTTAATATATCTCTCCCAGAAGTGCTGGTGGGTGCTTGTGTCAGTGTATTTGTAACAGTTCCCTTGCATCCAAACCTGTCCTTGCTGCTGCCTATTACACCCAGGCAGAAGGTACAGTGCCCAAGGCTCCTACATGTTTTTGTAATTTAAAAATGCAAGCCTAGATTATTATTCTGCTACAATAGCTCTGCCAAGATGTCAAAAAATATATTAAAAACTTCATCTGCCACAAAGACAGGAACAGCTTGAGATCAGCTAGGCAATAGCATTAGCAGCCTCTTGCAAATATTTAAGGGGACTAGACACTGTGGCAGATGTTTTTGCAAGGACCCTACCAATCCTAATGACTGGGACAGACAAAATCATAAGGCAAGACATGTTGGAGCACAGACACCAGAGTGGTGAACAGGAATTCCACCTCCCAGCTCCATGAGCTTATTGATAGCCCTGACTGGGTAAACAAGACTCTATCATGCCCTGCCACCTGTTCCCAGACACAAAGCATATTTCAGGCTCCAGTGTCCGAGTCAGTATTAGGTATGTTCTTCAGTCCCATTACTGCTAAATGAAGGAGAAAAAAGAATCACCAAGTCCAGGAGCCTAACCTTAAATACCATTTGCCCCCCAATTAATTTTTTTAAATGGAAAGCATAAAGGAAAACATAAAAGGAAAAACAAATGTCCCCTCTAGAACTACGTGTTTTTCAAGTCTCCAGGGACACCGAAGGTGTGAATTCTTGTACCTCAACTGAACAATGGCAAAATACTCAAATCCATGTCCATTAATACACCAAGTAAGTGACTGAGACACCAGACTGACCTAAGAGGCATTAAGAAAGACTCCCCTTCATTTTCCCAGCTACTGAAGGAAACTTTCATAAGAAACTTTCTGATCAAGGGGAAGTAACTGCAGGGACCCATCTTCCAGCAGGTGTAAGTGCCTCAGCCATTTCACTGAGAGCATGAAAACCCATTTTGGTTACAGAGCCAACTGGGAGAGACGTTCAACCTTCCACTCCTAGGGACACAGAGCTGTACCATTTCACACCAGGTGAGGCTATAGCTTTGAGGCAGTCGATGTTTTGTAATGCAAACTAATATCGTTTTAAGGCTTAGAAACTCTAATTGGAGCAGCATGGTTGTGTTGTGCTGTGCTTGGCTGGGAAAGGAGTCATTCTGGTGCTGTCCCACAGCAGGACGTGCCAGCAGGGCCAGCACAGCTTGCCAGGTTTCTCCTGTGCCTGCTGTCTGCTGGGACAATGGCTTGCAATGGGCCAAAAGCAGACACTCCTGGTTACATCTGACTTCCAGTGAAGCCCTCAATACCATCAACTGCCAATTGCAAAATGCTGAATTTATGCATTAAAACAAGAACAAACAGCAAACCCCTACCGCAAACAAGACCTGAAGGAACAGAGTTGTCTGCAAACTGGGGTTACATCTTTCAAATAAAGCATCTACATCCTTGACATATCCAATATTCAAACAGCTGGGTGAGCAAGTTTAAACTTAGTTTGAAAATAAACTCCATCAGCAGTTTGCTTGCTTTTTTTCTTGCTTTTGACCACTTTTCCCAGCATCCCTGCCACAGCACTCATAGCAACAAAGGCACTGAAAAAGCCTCCCTACCTTGCCCACCCACCTGCTAGCCTGTTTTGCTTTTTCCACATATTCAACAAACAGCTGTCACCCCCAAGCTTTTATTGCTTGGTTATTTATTCAGCTGCCATCACTAAATAGCAGTGGGAGGCCAATGAGTGATTTTAGAAGATCCACATCCTCAGAGAAGCCACCCTGATAGACAAGAGCTTGTTCGCACAGCATCTGGCCTACGCAGCACTTGACTAAAGCAGAGAAAAGTTTGCAGCCAACAAAAATGAGGCCTTTTCCTCCCAGAAATCCTCTACAATCCCATGCTGCTTTTCTAACACTGTCCTTGTAGCATAAAAGGGACACATGTCCCACTACTGTGGTGGCACTGAGCTGGAGCAAAGCTGGCTCCAGCCCAGGAGCAGATGAATTACTGTGCTGTAGTTCCTGTGAGAAATAGCTAAAACACTTTGGAGAGAGTGATAGAAAAAGTAACTTCTAACACCAACTGTCTTCTTCGCTGGAGGTTAATTACATAGGAATCTATTCTGCTGCAAATGTGACTAGATTCATTTCAGTGAGGGGTTAAGAACTATATTTGTTCTACTTCTTACTTCAGATCCAGGCACCTTTTTAAGGCCTGTAATGTTTGGGAATGGAGCACCTATTCATACATCATGAGCAAGACTGAAAAATACTTTCACTATGAGACAAAAGGTACCCGGGGCATAGGGACGTTCTGACCAGGAGAGAAATCTGATGGTAGGTGATTTTTCCAATTCTCAGGTACACCACAGGTGTTCTGAACACCTCTGGAAATGCACAGAGGCTGCACTGAACAGGGCTGATAGACAAACTCCTTATGATTCACGTAAAATACATGACACTGAAAAAGCTAAATAGGGAGCAGAATAGAAAGCTCCTTAACCCAACAGATTGTGCTTCTGCCCGGATTCTCCACAGACACAAGCCCTGCAGCCTCTGAATTTTCCCCGCAGGCAGGGGCTAAAGATAGGAGTATACCTCACACCAAATCCATCACACCAAACCCCATGACCTATCAATCGAAATGTAAATGGGGAGACAAAATAAGTAGAGTTAATTTCCATTCCGACTCCCAAAGCCCACTTTTTCAGCACTGGCTGCAGGCACTCACGTCCATCAGCAGTCCGGGCTTCCATGTGCACAAGGTCAGGTTCTTTATCCAAACCAGCAACGGACCTGGTTGGGGTCAAAAAGAGAGAGAAAGAAGGCAGCAAAGTTAGTTAAAAGCCCAGTTAGCTCTTCAATCAGAGAGAGAGAGGGTGAGGAGAAGCAAAACCAGTTCAAATCTAACTTGCAACACCTGGTATCCTGCTTGTCTCCTTTGTGTTTATAAGATAGACACCCTCCTAGGCGCTGGTGAGTGAACCTGCCTAGCCGTTGTCTACAAGATCAAGACTACAATGACTATTCTTGGGGACACAAAGCAAGCTGGTTGCAAGATCCCGTAAAACCAGATGTCTGTTTTAATACTGAAGGAAAGACAAGGGCACAGCAGCCTCATGATTATAGAAAGCAGGCTAAAAGGGGTATTACTTGGCTGAATAGTGACATGAGAGACTGATCTGCCCTTGTTTAGCTGGGCAATTCTGCTACTAACTCAGTTTCCCCATCTTCAAAAGAACAGCAATGCACATAAATACGGTGATCTTGTGACAAAAACCATTCTAGAAATAATTATTCACCCCATTATCCCATGCATTAGCCCTTGATAATCATGAAATAAAGGCATAATGAGTTTCTTTAACCTCACTAGCTGAAACCCAAGCACCTCAAGTAAAATCTGCCTGTGCATTGTTATTTTACTCTGAAAATGTTTTGCAAGGCACGTTACAAAGACAGTTTTCCTTCTGGCACAGCGAAAGTCAATCCCAGAGCAGAAATGTTGTTATTAGTGTCCTGGCTTGGAGATGAACATTTAGTCCTAGCAATGGCTGGCAGGGGAAAAAAAATAATCCATAGATGTCCACGTGATTTATGGAGCTGCTTCTTCTAAGTCAACCAAAGGGTTAGATTAAAAAGGGACAACGACAAAAATCAGTTTCTAATTTTGTGAAGCTGAATTTGATACAGTAGATTGTAAATAATAGATTCCCTCTGAGCCAGCCAACGTTCACAATTCCCTAATGTTCTAATACGCTTTTATCACAATCTTTTGCTTCTTTCATCCTTGGGGCATCAACAGCTAAAACATTAAAAAGAAAAAGAAAAAAAAAAAGAAAGAAGAAGAAAAAAGAACAAAATACAGATGTTCTGATACATTTTTGTGGATCTGACAAAAAACACAGCAATTGAACCAATGACAAACATACGAATGTGCCGGAGTTCAGCTAAGCTCTGCCAGTGCTCCAAATGTCAAAACAACTACATTATGACCCACTGTGTAGGTAACTGAAATTGGCACTGCTTGTTAACTAGAGCCCCGCATCAATAGCCCGTCCATTCACAACACACTGCGAATTGTGGCCAAGAAACCCCAACACAACAAAGCAAAGCCACACACAGGCAGAGCTTTCATCATTCTACTTCCAGTGAGAAATAGTCTGCTCCTTAATCACTACCATCAGTTTCAGGGTGATCCCACAGGGAAGAAAGCGCTGCCTGTTATTGGTAAGGATGCCAGAATGGGCCTGAGTGCCTGTGACTGTGTAATTATTGGTGTCAAACCTTCCAAATATCTGAACACAGTTAAAAGTGACAGTAGGACAAATAGAAATTCCTTAAAATGGCAGTGAAAAACATTACGGTGTGCAGCAGCATTATTTCCCAATGTATCTATAGAAAGGGCACACATCCTTCTAGTCCACAGCAGAAGTTTTCTGCCTTTTTCCCATAAGCAACCCTAAATGCTGTCATTTCAGGTGTTCAGCAGTCATGACTCCCACCTGCATGCCAATAGGGATAGAGGTACATACTTACCAACACCTCTATCCATCACAACTTTATGAAAGAAAGTGTGGTAATTTCAGTACTTTTAGGTGCTGGTTGGGATCCCATTAGGCACCTGCCCCACAGCCATTCCCAACAGGCTCCTTACTGAAATCCAGCCTTCGCCCTGGAACATACACTCTCCAGGCTTCTTCTTGAAAGCCAGACACCAGCCTTCTACCTAGAGCCATCTGCTGTGCCCTGGCACTACGTCAGGCTGCCTGCCCTGCTCCCCACACCAATTCCTGAGTCCCTCCCCCTACAGCAATGGGGCAAACCTACTCCTAGCCCAGGGAATAAGAAACATCCATCTGCCACAATACTATTCATTTTAAAAGGGACTGGAATTAGAATAACCTAAGTATTTCCAAACAAATTCCAAAATACTCATTACCACTGTGCATTTGCATACACAAGCTCTGTGGATCTACTCATAATGCCTATTAAGTGAGCATCAGGGGACAACAGGAGTCTCCTGAAACATGTCATTCTAGCTTGAATGTGTCAGTGCCATCTTCTTGTTTCCTTAATTAGTTTTGACAAGTCTGATGGCTCTTTTCAGAGCAACAGTGACGAAAACAGGATCAGCACACAGCACCCCCTAGTACTCCTCTGCTCACCAAATACTGTACTTAAGCAGAAAAGCTCACAAAGCAATCTCCTGCAAGCCAAAAGCAAGACAAGCTCCTGTTATCCACAGGCAGATAACAAGCCTGTAAAGTTAACTGCATCGGTCATCCTTCCGTCTCCCAAACGATATCTTAGATCATCTTCCTATATCAAAGACTCTGATTGCAAAACAAATCCCCAATCAATGCTGTTTTTTCATGCCTCGCCTATTCCCACTGGCAAAGAACACAGCTTTGCTTTGCAGTGCTCTGACTCCTGAATACGGGTATTTTCAGTAAATGATCTCTCACCATTTGTCTGGAGAAGCTTTACATGGAGAATGCAAAAAAAACTCTGGCAGTGGAATGAGCAAGATGTGAGTGCAGATTTTGGAGCACAGCTGCTCCAAAAAGCTATTCCTTTATCCCATGTAGTAATTTCTCTAGTCTTAAGAACTCACTGCAACAACCTCTCAGGTCTGGCAATATAAGGGCAGCAACAAGACACCTTCACAGCCTTATATTTTCTCATACATTATCTCTCTGAAAAACAGTTGGAAGACTCACTGCTCAAAACTCTTTGAGCAAGTAAAGTATGATGAGGAGAGATTACACCATCCCCTGACTTACCATTTCCCTTGCATGTCCTCCCTCTAAAGCCAAGTGGAGCCCACAGACTGGGGATGGCCAGGAAGGGTTTTCCTGGCTCTCTGGCTGACAAGCAGCTCTATTTCAGAAGTTTACAGAGACAAGAGCGTTTAACAACACTTACAAGCCTCAGCTCAGCTTGAAAACAGTTTTCCTGCCACACAGGCTGCAGGCAGAGCTCACCTCTGTATTTTGTATGTTCACAGACTCCAGAGCGTAAACAAAACCAAGGTCCACAAAATGCACCCGTGTATGTTGCTGCCTTGGATGGCCATGGGGAGGAAAAAAGGCACTCTCACTGTGAGAAGCCACACTAAATCAACATCCTCCACAATCCCTGTTCATTTATCAACAGTCAGATGAGAAAATGCTGAGAGGATGCAGGCAGAAGTGACAGGAAAGGTATTTTCTTTTTTCTCCTGCTGACACATTCCCTGACTGCTGCAAAGGCATTTTCAAAACGTGGAGCCTGCAGCCACTCTTGCAGCTGATGCAGGATCACGAGCCAATTAAGATTGAAACTACCTCTGGATTCCATTAGGAAGGAAGCAAGTGATACTTTTTTCTACCTTCTGCTGCTGCTTTTCTCTTCTGTTCTCACGGTAGCTCTTGATTTTCACAAGATCTTTCCTCCCTTCTTTTCAGAACAGGATCGCGTGTTCTTGAAAGCTGAAGGATGGACAGGATCCTGGCAAGATCCTTACCTCTATCTTGAAGGAAAAGCATGCGTGGATGCACATTTGCTAGACCCCTCTGCTAATATTTCATCTCTGACCAGGAGGGAGAGCAAGCGAGAAGGGCAAGGAAAACACAGGTTTGTAAGTAGTTATTCCTGAAATGTTTCTAGCTGAAAATAGAAATACCTAGCATATGCAAAGAAAGGAAAAAAGAAATCCACAGACTGTCCGGATTACTTACCTAGTACACACCTCAGCTCACTCTTTTCTACCAACTCTACTACCTTCCCATAGAACAAACCATTCTTGCACGTTTTTTTTCTACCCATATTCTAGACATCGGGTGTTTAATGACAAAAGGCAGCACTGAGATTTAGGTACTCCAGCATCTTAGATCAAAAAACACTGAGCAATTCAGACTGCCTGCTGTTCATTCTTGCTCCCTGAAACATCTACAAAGACAAGCTCTATTCTTCCTTCTCCTGGACCCATTAGCTGGTGGGAGTGGATGTGAGCAACATTTCTGTTAAGGATTTAAAACAAGGTAAAAATGAGGAATCAGCCTTTCAAACTTGGTCTGGTATCTGCTGGATTGAGCTTTTTACCAGGGCTGTGCCTATTTCTGACCAGGTAAGATGGCATTCCTCAGCTCTGGCTTTGAAAACAAAATAAAACTTTTACAACAGATTGAGACTTTCCCAGGATGCCAACTTGGAAACTCATTTTTGCAGGTTCGGATGTCAGACTGAAGGCAATTGTCACTGCTCATGTAAAGAGACAGAGGAAACAGATGGAGACTACTTAGCAGGATGTTGTGCTGTAGACAAGGGCTAGAGATGGGAAGGAACAAGGCACATTTATTGCGCAATAATATGTAAAGGGGGAAAACCACATCCTCTTGCTGCAGGCAACTGCAGTCAAATTAGTGGATGTTGCCAATTAGTCTGCTGTAATTTTAATTGTATCCTGTTCCAGCAGTGAATAAGCACTTCTTCATGGTGCCAGGCAAGCAATGCATGGAACTAAATTCGTCCAAGCAACGAAAAGTCTAGGTCTATATGGGCAGCTGGGAGCAGAAAGTGATCCATACAACTACTGCTCAACTAATCTATTTTTTTACATAGCACCATTGCTATATCATACATAACCTTTCCAACATGGACCAAAACCCAACAGGCTACTTTCTCCATCTGGTACAGCATCACGTTTGTCTAGATATCAATAACTGCAGCCAGCTTCGGAGGGTCAAGGGGATGCTGTGTATTCATCTGTTATTTACTGCAGTCAAGTCTAAAACTGGCTCCATCAAGCATTAACT